ACAGCTCGTTAGTTTGACAGTAATGGCGGCAGCTTTAGAACTGGTAGTCAAATACATGAAGAACAATCCAAGTCTGGCTGGTGGCAGCTTTTTACTTTGGGATATTTTCTGTGGTGCAAGGTACAGTTTTGAGGTGCACAACTGAGGTGCTTTTACTCGATTGTACTTCTACTCTAGTACACCATGTAAACATCTTGACCTTCTCCATGTCGTCCCAGTTGGTGACGATGCCGTGCTCGATGGGGTACTTCAGGGTCAGGATGCCTCTCTTGCTCTGGGCCTCGTCTCCCACGTAGCTGTCCTTCTGTCCCATTCCCACCATCACACCCTGCACACACACAGTCACACCTTTACAGTCACCTGTTACACCTTTGTTTACCTGGTGGCTAGATTTTATAAATCCTGTAACACAGGTGATGTTCATGCTGGTGTTGGTACCTGGTGTCTGGGGCGACCGACGATGGAGGGGAAGACAGCACGGGGGGCATCGTCTCCGGCGAAACCGGCTTTGCACATGCCGGAGCCGTTGTCAACAACGAGGGCAGAGACGTCTTCATCCATGTCTGAAACATTTACATGAATAAACTTGCCTTTATTTTTTCGTACATAACCCAATATAGATTCACACTTTTTATTTTTAGTATCCTCTGTTTCTGTGATATTCATCGTTTTGGTTAAACACTGAAAACTGAATAAAATTATGTAATATCAGTAAAGCATCAATTTGGCTCATGTAAAAGTTTAGCTGCTATTTGGTCATACAGCGCCGTCTGTTGGGCTGTAGATAAAGTGAATTGCAGAGTTGTGCGGAAGTTCCTTTTCAAATACAACTTTTTTTTATTGTTGTGATTCTTGACCACACTGAGTGTATTTATGGAGAAACAAAGAGCTGAAAGGATTACAAGTGTGGCTGTGAATAACTGAGAAACACATTCAAGAAATTTCCGCAATACCAATTTAATGTTTTTTGGAACCAGATTTGCAGCAAGATGTCCTGCATGATGAATGGATTCTTTGGGTTCAGTGCCATATGTGTTAACTGGAAGAATTCAGTAGGAAATATGCCAACCAACAAGGCAGAACACCTTTTCCCCCTGAACCACCTAACATAGTTGGATATAAGAACATGTGAGACATACTACCCCTCAACAAGTTACTGTCAGCAAAGCCATGAGGGACCTGCCAGGATGACACCCTTGAATTTGAAGGTGACAAGAGCACGAAGGCTCCCATTAACCGAACACACACAAGACAAAAGCAACAGCAACTTTGAGAGAACATACTGCAGCTCACAGAAGTAGTTGGTCAACCATCCTCTTACGCTGCCTCAGCTGCACCAGTGAGAAAGGTTGATACACCAACTCTCCTTTTGGTTTGATTCTGATTCAGAGTCAGATACTTTAAGTGGAAGGGTGAGATGTAAAGGAAGCTAAAGAGAAGTGCAAACTAATCTGGACTGATGTTTGAGCGCTGCTTGGGCGATGATGGACAATATTTTGTGGTGATCCGTCACTGCATGTCACCACTGAAGGGGCTAAAATTGGCGCCTTCACCCAGGCGTTGTGTTTCCATCAATGCTGATCAGAGCCAGAGCTAATAAATACCTGTGACTACTGTAGAGTGATTCAATCAAGGTGTGAATACAAATTATAACTTTTCCCAACATTAAAATGCCAGATGTTGGCAGGTGTTAGCAGGTTTTCTGTGTGGTGGAAAGCGGGCTCATGAGTTTATCAGCCCTCCATCCCCACAGTGGCACCATGGCTGCCCTCACAGCTCAGTACAGTCCACCTGCTGGCCTTGGAGAGAATTGCAGAGCTAATGGATGGAGCCAATATCAAAAGGTCCTGGTGCCTTTTTTTTTCTTTTCTTTTCTTTGCTGCACTACACCTAGGTTTTGTTTCTATGACAACAATATTTTAGCTAGGAAGCTAATGTAATACTACATTAAAGAGTTGACTACACAGTTAACAACAAGCTTACAATGTGTACTGCAGCTTTTCTATAGTTTTGCACAGCTCAGGATAGACAGTAGCTGAAGGAGCAGCAGTGACAACATTTCAACTAAAAGCACTCGGAGCAGCTGGGAAAAAAAAGCTGAAGTGCTCTGAAAAACATGCTGGGCGCGGCACTTTATCTCTAGGCTGGTGCGTTCGGCCAAATGCACCCTCTCTTCATTGGGAACATTTGAAAAAACAGTGCTAGTGCGAAAAATAAAACATGAGGGATGCTTAATGTGGCTCCTTGGTTCTTTTGAGATGGGTGGTGCAGAGTGAGCGTGGTTCAAAGTGAGTCATCGTTCATTTATTCATTTATGTATAAACTGTAAGGATATACTACCATTTGTAGATCGCACTGTGAATTTCTCTGAATGTAAATTCTTAATATTCTCAAACTACCAGGTCACTAGTGGTTATTTAATTAAGCAAAAACCCAGAACAGATGCGGTATGCAGATCTGTACTGCATCGAGCAAATATGAAGACTGAAGCCCCCAGTGAGGAGAGTTGTAATGAGCTACTTAAAAAACACACAATAATCCCAACGTGAACCAAACGTAACTAGAAGATTAAATGCAATTTGATATGTTTAGTTTTTGTAATTGATATTTACTGGTCTTGAATGTTTTCTTATTGTTCTATGAAACAGATCTTTTTATGAATTCTACTTTGTATCTAACGCAATTAACGTGTTGTGATCTTTCGTTGTTCACTTGACATTTACTCGTCCTGATCACATGCTTTATTTATGTTTGTTTAGTTGTGTGTGGACCCCAGAAGGAGAAGCTGCTGCCTCAGTGGCAGCTAATGGGAATCTGAATAAAGAATAAAGTTCAGATGCTGATGGTGCACCATGCTTATTCAGACCAGACGGGTATCATTAAGAATGTATGGCTTTTGCTCTGTCCATTTAAACACAGAGATGGTATTTGATATTTGTTATTCACAAGTATAGCTTGTCAAGATATTCTATGGTGCAGAAGAAGACTACTGCAATAGATGATTGTCCCCATCTATCACTAATGAAGTGTAATGGCTGCCATCTGTGGTCATAGCGTGGCTTCTGTTGGGCTTTAGGGTACTGTGATGTGGCAGACTAGTTTTTACTCTTATAACTTGATTACTTCTTTAAATTATTTCCCACACTTAGTTCCTAAGAGTATTTATGGAGAAATAAACATTTGAAAAGATCACAAGCGTCTCTGTCATCCTTGATCAGATGCCTGTGGTGGCTGTGAATACCTAAAAACTGAATGTAAGAATTTTTCCTCAACAACTTTGGAACAGTACGATTCAAGTATTATTTAGAATAAGAGAGAAAATGAGTCAGAAATAAGCAGTGAGGTTATGTAATCTTTCCCTGACAGCTCATCCACTGTTAAAGAATCAGGAGTGCACATTAGTGATGCAACACTTTCAGGCGTGATGAGTTGTACGAAACTCCTCAGTAGTGATTGAAAGACTTTGATATGTGGATGCACTCTGTATGTTTCTGTGGCTGCACAGAGTCTAGTCTAACTGTCTGCACATCTTCCTGCAGCGCTCACTAAAATGACAGTTGTTTGTTTAGGCGTGGCGCAAGTTGTCCAACCTAATGAGCTTAACTTGTGACCTTTTTTAGCACTGTTGCCTCAGGGACATTTTCAGAACAAGTTGAGGCAGAACAGAAACCACTCCTGTTAAGCAAACCCCGCAGATTGTGCAGCCTCTTCATGACACAACATGTCTTTACACTTTAGCTGCACCCTTTATAATGACCTACTGTAAGATGAGACACATTTTACTGCAGTCTGTTACTGAGCAAAAAATTTATAATAAAGTTATGATGATTCATGGGGTTTTATTTTCTTGAGTGTCTGAGACAGGAAGTGTGAGATGCAGAAAGGAGCAGCCCTTCACTCAGGACATTCACACACAGCTGACACATCTGCTCATTCCCTGAAACAGTTACACAACTCAAAATAAAAAATATTAACAAGCCCAGGAGGTCTGATTAGTGTCTTTAGCAGCTCTTTAGTGAACATAAGAACTTTTAGAGAAGAACAATAGAAGGATTTGCAGCATTTAAACAAAAGAAAAGCATCGTTAAAACAATTTCATTAAGATCGTTTCCTTCTATATATTTGTGTTATTCATCAGCCCTGATCTCTGCTGCTGTCTCCTGTTAACATTGCTGATTTATTTCATTCTCAGTGTCTCCACAGTTCCTGCCTTGAGACATGGTTGTAATTTATTAGAATTTGCCTTTTAAACTGCAGGTTCAGCTGGTGGGAGATGATGACTGACAGCCAACATGGTTGTTTTTTTAAACGCTGATCTCTTTCACATTACAGTGAACTCTTTCAGGGAGCTGCACCGATGTATGTGCTGATGTTTTAAATGTTTCAATCCAGAAAAAGATTCAGACAGTTCGCGTAAAACAATGACAGAATATGTTCTGTGCGTGAAGTCAGGCTGTTTCTCTTCATTTCAAAGGGCTGAAAACTGATCTGATATTCGCGGATAAATCAAACTGAAACATCCCATCATCACCTGTCTGTCACACGCCTGCAGTTATTCAGTGTTGGTGAGTCTGACCGATGAATGATCTAATAGAGCTGCACAACATCTGAGATATTTCCCATCAGAGCGCTGGGTCTTACCTGTGCAGGTGAGTGTCGGGTGTGTCTGTCAGGGAAGTCTCGCGTGTGTCCCCAGCTGTGCTCCGTGAATGCGGCAGCGCGAGCTAAACCGCAGTGGCTTTATTCACGCTCGCGGGACTCGACGCGATGTCCATAAAAGGTAACTTTCCTTCAGCTGGCGCTCTCATTGGTCCAGGTGAGCAGGATTCTTTAGGTTCTCCCAACCTGTGTCGTGATTGGCTGGAGCAGGCATCTGTCACGGTGGTGGGGGCACGCGAGATAATAACCATTTTCAAACAACAGCAGAAAAAAACCCTCAAGGTTTTTACTGAGAAATGTCCCCTGAGCCAGAGAGCTGTGATTGGCCTGTCAGACCGGAAAGGTGAGTTAGATATTTGAAGCATCTCTGTGCAGGTGAAGACACAAACCACGCCGCTCACAAACCAAAACGCTTCAACCACATTTAAAGTTCTTAAAATACAGATACTTCCTGCTGGTTAAAGAGAAAGCTGGCAGAACATGTTGAAGCACAAAGAGAGTTGTTGGTCTGCAGAGAGCTCCGTCTGCATGTCTGATTCTGTTGCATCACCTGTTTGAATCATGCTGAGGATTCCTGCTCTGCTGTGTGGATGCTGAGGAGGATTCTGTTCACACTCAGGGTCAAACTGACTCTGAGAAGGTGGAGGTTACAGATGGTGTCAGAATGGATACAGCATGTCACATATGCCACTTGTAATTACACAAATCCTCCACAAATAAAGAGAACCTTTTAATTTCAGCTGAAAACCTGTGACACTCTCTGTAACATCTTCTTCTAAATCTCTAATTTAAATCTTGTCAGTGTTCCTCAGTCCGTACTCATATTAAACTGTCAATAAGTGACTGTATTTCAGCTCTCCACACCCAGCAGTCACAGAGCAAAATGAAGATTCATTAGGAGTCTTTGTGTTTTTGTGTGCACCCATTGGCGGGTTAGGAGAAAAGGGGCCCACCACCTCTCCTACATGGGAGCAAGACACACAGACTCTGTGTGTGGTTGTTCTCCGATGATTTTGTCTTGTTTTTTCCCCCATTTTTGTAGTTATGTTGTTTCTTGCAGTTGCTTCACATTTCTTATGGTCTTTTGTAATCTTTGTAGTCTTTGAGCAAATGTGTCTCTGTGGTGTTTTTGAGTCATATGGAGGTATTTTGTTTCACTGCACTTGGGTTGCATCTGTCTGGTGTTTTTGTAATCGTCTGAGCGATTTCTTCCTTTTTTTTGTCTCTGTAGTTGTTATGCATCATTTTGTGGTTCTGTGTCTCTTAGTATGTATGTATGTATATATATATAAAAATATATAATTTCTTTTGTGGTCTTTTTGTGATTGTTTGAATCCCTTTGAGCTAATTTTGTGTCCAATTGAAGTACTTTTGTTTGACTTCTGACTTTTGACTTCTTTGTTTATTTGGGTGGCATGTTGCCAGTGAGGGCCAGGGTGGCCCCTGACACTTTGGGCCCCTGGGCCTGTGCCTGGTAGGCCTGTTAAGTAATCCATCCATGTGTCCACCTGATGACTGTCAGTCCAGCAATAATGATCATAATCATTTTCCAGCACAAAGACACGAGGCTTCTTCTGTTTTTCCATTCTGACTGAAGCTTTTAACCGCTCTGCAGGATCCACCTGGTTTTATTCTCTTCAGATTTTCTCTTATAATTCTTGTGACACTAGAAAGACAGCTGCTGTTTCTTCCTGGTGTGAAAACTTAAATAACATTTTGAGCATGCTGGTATGTTTTTTACAAAGAATATTTTATTTTTGAGTATTTCATTTCTTTTAAGAATGAAAACTTGTATCTGAGGGCTGCTTAGCGAGGGCCAACGTATTGGGCAAAAAAACCTTTCTTTTAATGTGCATTTTAAAAAATCTGTTAAAAAAGCTGAGGCCAAAACTGGACTTTTTAAAAAAGATTTTATTGTGCCTCTGTGCCGGTGACAGAGCTGGAGACATTGTGTTTATGGGTTGTCTGTCCATCCATCCCATTCTCGTGAATGTGATAGCTCAAGAACTCTTTGATGGGAATGTAAATTGGCACAACCGCCCTCCTGTACTGAAGAACAAACTGTGAAGAATGTAGTGGTTGAAGGTCAAAGGTCAGTGTGACCTTACAAAGCATGTTTTTGGCCATAACTCAAGAATTCATGCACTAATTATGACAAAACAGGTCAGCTTGACTGTGACATCATCATGTTTTAACGTCATATCTCAGGAACAGCAGGGATGGGCAGTATTTCTATTACTTGTATTTAAAATACGTATTTCAGTTACATTTGAGTAATTTGTATTTGATAGGCTGATAAAAAGCAAATGTAATTTGTAACAAAATACTTTTGAGTGGAGTAATTTACTACTAATAATTTACATACTATTTGTGCATGGGGTAAGTCTGGGGTGGATCTTGCGTTTGGTCATGTGTGTGTTTCAGAGGAGACACCTGCACACTAATGTAACTGTGTCAGAGAGCCACAAAAAGATTCACAGGCTGAGATCAATGTTTATTTCAGACATCTGTGCACTCAAAAAGAAAATCTCTCACTCTTTATCTCTCTCACCCTTTTGTGATGTCTTAAATAAACAAACCATTTTTGCATTGTCTCTCCTCGGCCGTTCTTTCTTGTTTGTTGCCCCAGGTAGGTGCAGTTTCACAGCAGCCCTGAGACTTTGAATAGATAGAACAAATAAAAAAGAAACGACATGTCAAGATGAGATAAAATGCAAATATGATATATGACATTAACTATAGTGCAGAAATTAAATATAGATGATGGAGCTGATGACGTAACATCAGAGGTGCGGTCTGTGTCAGTGTCCTCGTTCAGGATTCAGGAAGTCCAGATCCTGCAGCTGTTTATATATCATGACGTAGCTCAGAGAAAACAGGGACCTGAGTTGAGTTACATGCAGCTGACAGACAGATCTGTGACCTGTTTGGAGACCAAGAGGAAAAACAAACGCTCACATTTAGATAAATATGAGTGGCACCAAAGTCTAGTTCCAATAAGAAATTCAAACACAGTCACTGACGTCATTTCCTGTCCTTTCTTCATAGTTTCCGTCTGAGTGAGAACAAGGAAGTTCTGTCTAGAGTTCTTAGTCTAGACCGACCTTTTACCTTAAGAGACCCCTTTTATCTCACTGAGTAAACTGATGACCTCTGACTAAGCGCCATTTTCTGGATATTTCATATTATGTTTAATGCACAGCAATAACAGTACACAATAACTCAAAGTGCACAGTTAACCCAAACAGTGGGGAGTTTTTCCTTCTACACTGTGAGGCTCCAAAGGACAGAGGGATGTCGTATGCTGTAAAGCCTCTGAGGCAAACTGTGACTTGTGATATTGGGCTTTATAAATATATTTTAACTCAATTGAATAACTGCAGAAAGTTTGTGTGAAATGAGAGACTGAGATTCTGATGAATTTCTGACAGGTTATTTCCTGTGGATGTTGATTAAAGATGAGTTTACTGATATTTATACAATTCTTTTTTTGTATTATTATTATTATTATTATTATTATTATTATTAATCATACATACTTAAAAGGCGTCTTAAAAAATCAGTTTTCTTCACCCTGACTCTTCTCTATTGTTCTTCAGCTCTGGTTGTGTACAGCTGTCTACATCAGGAGGCTGTGTAGCAGAGAGTGATGGCTCTGTGAACATACCTTGTGTTCAGGTCTTCACCTTGTCCTTATTCAACCCGGTCTCCTAAGAAGTCATCGAAAACTGCCACTTGGTCAATGACTTCCAGCGTCAGACACCGACAAACAAAGTTGTCCTTTCACGTCAGCACAGCACGCAGCCTGTCACAGGTAATGTTTAAGTGCACCTGGCGACGTCAGGGGAAAATGCGGTGGGATAACCGTGAATGTTAAGGGGGTGGAAGTCCAAGGAGAGCAGGCAGGAGGGGTGGAGGATGGGTCCAACAACAAAGTTGAGCCAAACCATGATGTTTTTCTTCTAAACCTGACCATGTGCTTTTGTTGCCCAAACCTCAGTAAACCTAAACACAACAGCAATGAAAGTTTGTTTGTTTTGAATAGAGCCTGTATGAATCTAATGAGCAGACACTGCACACTTCCTGTGAAAACACAAGTGTGATTTGAAAAGACAAAATGCATGTAACGAGCGTAAATTGACACGCCATCCCTGAACATCCAAACTGACACAGGAAGATAACTGGAGCATCATGTTTTGACGTGTAGGTCCACTGATGAAGCTCCAGTGCTTGATGAGCTGAGCTGAGAACATGAATGGAATAAATTCTTTTAGTCTTTTGACTGACAACTTCTTAAGAACTCAGTGTGATTTTAGATTTCTCGTCCTCGGGGGTAAACTCGGCCTCAGTCGTCAGTCTTGGATGTAAACAGTAGTTTTCAGCAGAAATGAAACTGTTGTTGTGTCACTGTGGAATTCAGAGCAGCTGCCTAATTGTAACCTTTTTACGAGCAGCCTCTACTTTATCCACTTCCTCTCAGACATCAGCTAACTGCTCGGTGCAGTCCTTCATCATCCTCCTTTTCTTCATCCTCCGAACCTTTTGTTCTCATGACCCCTAAAAACATTCTCACATTGTTCTGTTTGATTTTTTTTTTTAGAACATTTTTAATATTGTAGTTTTACTACAGCTACTTCTGTCTACTGTCTATTTACAGTAATGGCACTAATACCACACTGTGATAATACTTCGCTACAAGTAAAGCGTCCTACAGACTGAGATGTTAGCAATCTTATAAGTTTAGTGCAGCTACACTGTGAGACACAGATCTGATAATCTTGGGTACGACATCAGGTTTGATGTCTGCAGACTGTACGATGACAGCGCCTACGATGCAACAGCTTCACATACTGAGTGCACAAGGATGCTGCACAGGTTATTACTGCTCCAACTGTGAGGCTCAACATAGAGGGTCAGATTAATGAAATTAATAAAATGTCAGAAAATGTTTATAAAATGTGTGAAAAAAAAAAAAAAATTAAAAAATGTATTAAAGACATGTATTATTAAATTGTCAGAAAAAATCTTAATATTATGTTTGAAAAAATGTTTAAAAATGTTGATATAACGTCAGAATTTTATTATTAAAATGTCAGAAAAATATTAATAAATTGTCTGAAAAAAATGTTAAAAGAA